CCATCAGCCTTGTACTCTCGGGATAGGTAGGAATCTGTGTTTTGCTGATCTTCCTGGCGTCCACTGCCAACTCATTGATCAATGTATCCTTTGATGTCATGATCTTGAAGTCATCGTCGATCAGATCAAAGTCGGACGCGGTCTCTTAAGGCTTTGACCGGGATGTTCTTTTGTTAAATCTTATGTGGTACCGCCTGATTCGACTTCTAATGGTTAAGTGAAGTGTTTTCTTCGCGGTACGGTCTGGATTCGTAAATACTATGAAGACGAGCTTCGGCTTCAAAGGGTTAACCAGCTGATTTTCGTAATGGTGAGGTGTAGTGTTGTCTTCGCGGTACGGACTGAATTACTTTGTGGACGAGCCTCGTATATCACGCGGAAAGTTCAACAATCCTGTCGGCATTGACACGAAAGCTTTGCCTTTAATCACCGCGAGATTCGGGTAATTAGAGAATCTTTCAGCAGCTCAGATAATACAGCGTCAAGTCGGACGCGGTCTCTTAATACTGGCTTTGATGTGTGCTCGTCCAACCTTGTCCAGTAGTCCATCAGCATTTTCGCTGTTCGTGTACAGAAGGAAAGCGACGTAAAAAAAAGAATGCCTTGAAGACGTCAAATCTCTACCAGGGGATAGATTTTCTCCTATACTGCCATCTAGTGAGTCTTCTTTGAGTTGTCGATATGCTATATCTCTCTCTTTGTCGTACACCAATTATGACGTCAAGGCCACAAGAGTGTTTTGCCATGACAAAATACGAAGATGCAAAGGAGAATGATGGTACCAGTAAAACTGAGAACTTTAATAGTTTTTTTACATTTCTCTGCTTCAGGGAGTTTTGCCTTGAATTTCTTTAATGGAGTTTGATCTTCGAATTTAATTATGACGTGGCTGTAGATAAAGTATTGCAGCATGCCATCAGTTCTGTGTATCAGAAAACCTCCTTTTTGATAATAACTAATAAAGGTACTTGTTAATCATTGTTTATAGATGTAACCTTTAAAGAAGATAGGTACAAAAATCTGAACAAAAGCAAAACAGACGAGTACACATTCAAGAGGCAATCTGTCAGGAAATGTCACATAACTAAACAACCATTTCTATTGTTGGCAGTATATTACAAAGCTGCGAAAAGAGAACATTTATTCTTCCTTTCTGTTATTCTGCCAGCGCTCCGCAACAATACGTCAGAGACAGTAATATTCCAGAGTGAGAGGTTTTTTAAAATGTCCAGTAAGTAATACAATTTCAAGTTCCGCCTAGAAACTGTCACTACAATACTTATTCCTTCCATTTGTCCTTTAACAGGTCAACACGTTTCTCATTACGATATATTAACGGCAAAAAGAAAGTTAGAAATCACTCATGTTTCTTATAGTCGCGGGCGAATGATTGTAATTCACAAGTACCGTTAGCAGATACAATCGATGTTAGGCAAGTTTCCACCTCTGGAGACGGCTGCAAATCTGCAAATGTCACATGACAAGGTCGAGGCACAATGTGTTCCATTCCCCGTCGTTATTTCTAGTTTTAATTATTTGAAGCTCGTAGATAATAAGCATACATTGAGCTGTTGTTTACTTTTATCCAATATGAAACAGATATTAGTGTTGATTCTCTGAAGATTCATTACTGGTTGATTCATTATAGGAATATTATGTTGGACATTATCACGACGTTTCGGGAGATGACTACTTCCGTCTTCAGTGACTGGTTTCATGATACAGACACATTTATCATTATTATTTCTTCTTATTTCCTCTTGAACCAGTTTTGAACGCCACCACCAAGGCTTTAAACTTATGATTGTATCACTTTCCTTATAATATGTGATGTTCCTACTGTGCCTAATTATTTGTGTATAGAATAGTGTAGAGCCACGGTGGTCTAGCGGTTAGAACGTTGGCCTTGTAATCCTGGGGTATCGGGTTCGATTCCCGACGGCGCCCGAATTTATAACTTGTGTTGGGCAAGGCCGTGGTCTAGGCAACACGGAGTTTTCCTCCGGGGGCTTCCCCGGTTTCTCCGTGGCATCCCAACAATTACTCTATTCACACACAGAAGAAGGCAATGGCAAACCCCTTCTGGATCATCTGCCAAGAACGTATATGAACAGGTCCCAGTCCGAGAAAAGGATGGAAGGATCCTGTTCATATGGACCTGTCGTCAGACAGAACACTAAATAAATAAATAGAATAGTGTAGATTTGCACAAACTTTGTCTTATTATGTATCCATTGTTTGCTAGAATGGCACATGCTGATGTTAGGCGGTCAATAGATTCTACGTATTCTTTTCGTAGTCAACAATTACTTTCAATTGTTTTCTTGGTATGGTTTTTGTTGAGACTGTCTCTGTGTGCACTTTTTGATAAGAAGGTTAAAGCGTATAAATTATTTTTGGTTCCCTCCACTTGTAAGTGAAAGATTGTTGAAAGCCCAATTTCACAGGTTATATGATGACCTGCGTATGTACCGAAAGAAATTATTCAGATACTTTTTTTTGTCAAGTTGGTTCGATCCTGTAGTTGGTAAAATGAAAAGATCCACCAAATGTCGAGTGTGGCTATTATGATCCAAAGGAAACGTGTTGCATTGTTTCGTGCGTATATGAAGCAAGGTCTACTAGGTTAGGTTTAAGTGACATTGAGGTTGCGGGGTGTGGCCCACTGTGCCATACCTGATGACGTTTCGTCGACTTGAAAATTCATTTATCGGGTGACGCCTTACCGGACTACCTCAATGTACCGCTTGCCTGATCGGGAATAAAAGAATTTAATTGTAATTATAAAAGACAATTGGCAACATTCTTGGAAGGCAGTGATAACCTTTCCTGAATTCCAGAATTCGGGACCCCTTTGATTTCCTAGTTATTAACGAAGTTTTGTTTATAAACTACAGTCTTTATATAATTTTTCAGTTTTTGAGCAAATGTTTTGTCGAGGATATTTGCTGTTGCTTCAGATCATCAGATTTTTTGGAGATGTTTAAGAACTGCACATGTAGAGGAATTAATATTGTCTGGCAAAAGTGTTATATCTGAATAATATCTTTAAAGTTTGTATTTATCATATTTTATAATAAATTACGGTGACTCTCAAGTGCGTTGTGAATAAAAGTTATAAGGTTTACCCATTATATGGCTAATGGGCTTTTATAATAAATTACGGTGACTTTCAAGTGCGTTGTGAATAAAAGTTACAAGGTTTACCCATTATATGGCTAATGGGTGGGGTGGTAGTTAGTAATAATACCGACTGGCCGTCATAGCGTTGTTACAGTAGTTTCATAAGCGATGCGGATAGATGGGAGTACATTCATGTTGGTCTTGTGTGTGCAATGACTGATGTAACGCGTGTTGTGTCTTTGTTTTTCTTATAAATGATTATTAGGGTATTAGTTAAACTATACAATACGTGTTATAATATAATTTTTTTCCGTACAGAATGTCGAAAAGGGCCTCCAAAGGATTAAAAAATTCTGCAGAAACACTACAGAAGGAAGACGTAGTTCAAGCTGTTGTGATTGTCGACAGCTTCAAGGGAGGATTTCATCCGATTACATATTTTATACCAGCAGTATGTTGTCATAATCATTATTTTGGTATCTTATAATATGAAGCAAAATGTCATATAGCTTGCAGTGTTATTTCGAAAAGAAAAGAAAATAACATTGTGTAGTCTCATCTCAATACACAGTTTTTCTCCTGATGTGTCAATTTTTATAGTTAGCCAACTTACAAGTGACCCAAGGTGTCTGATATTTTAATGCTTGCAGGCTCTGGTACCTGTAGTAAACACACCACTGCTTGATTATACACTGGAATGGTTGGCATTGTCTTCAGTTCAAGAAGTAATTCTTTTCTGCAGCTCACATGCAGATCTTATCAAAGAGCATATTAGGTGAGGACATTATTTGGAATAACACTCCTGTACTGTATATAAGGGCCTGATAATCATAGGGTTTATGTAGTGGTAGTATTAACTTTTCAGGTATTGTACTGACCCATTATTTCATGGTTAAACTATGCCAGTTTTTGTATTATATTGAGCATGTGGAGGTTTCGGAGAAAGAAAGAATCCTGTCTTATGTTAAACATGAAACAAATATAGTTGGGACAAGATTGCACTGTTATATACATATATAGTTATATGTTGTGTCACTTTGTAGGAAGAGCAAGTGGAATGAACTGGCCTCTGCCATGGTAATAACAGTGATGGTATCTGAGACCTGTCGCTCACTTGGTGATGCTATGCGGGACTTGGATGCAAAGGCTGTTATAAGGAGTGACTTCATTCTAGTATTTGGTGACATGGTTGGAAATGTAAACTTACTACCCATTCTGGAACATCACAGGTTTGTGACTGTAACAGAACAGTATATTAAAATGTAGCTGGTATGAAGCATAACATAGTTCCTGTACTTATAGTCCTCTGTGAATGTATATAGTATGATAAGAGTAACAAAGTAAATGTTTATAGCTACATGTCATACAGAATTGTCCCCAAAAGGAAGTTTTATTTTAATATATTCTGTCTGTATGAAATAAAATATAAATATTTTACTGCTTTGAAATAAGAGCAGCAAATTATAATGGAGCTTGGTTATTTGTTCTGTCTCAATCTTTCATTGTACAGGAAGTTGCAGAAACAGGACAAGGGTGTAGTAATGACAATGGTATACAAGGAGGCTGGACATGGTTATTGTTCACGTTCTGTTGATGATAAAGCGGTTCTCACAGTGGACTCATCTACAGGCAGGGTGTTGCTCCATAACAAGATGAAAGTTGGAACTAAACGGATAAATATTCCATTGGTACTGTTTGTGTGCACAATAAGAACACTCGAAAACCGGTTTCTAGCCAAATAAGTGCTACAACTTTTTTGTCAAGTGCATTATGTTGTTATATCAATTTGTTAGGCCAGGAAATTGTTGTGAACTGATACAGTAACTTCGCATTCAGCACTACAGTACAGGGTAGTGAGATAAAGTAGTGCAGTTTAATGTTGTTGTGCATGTCAGTGAAGAAAATGGTAATCCAGGCAGGCATTTTGAAAACAAAGAATGGAAAATATCCATCAGTTGAATCAGATTTATCAGAATGTTCAAACTTTCAACGTTTCTTGTTAGATAAAAGTTTTTGTGACAGTTCCCAGTATCAGACTGAATTGTGTTAATTAGTTTTGTGTGCTTTATATATATATATGCAAATAAAAAGTACTATAAATGAAAACTAGCAATTTTAAGGCATGAAATGAAGGAGATATATTTGGAAGATTGTGAGGAGATGGTTTGCAGTGAATTAGTCTCTATCATTTTCAGAATATACAGTTAAAGAAGTTACATAAGATGTGGTGTAAAATGATGAATACGTTTCAATCTGCAGGAAACGTATAGTGACTGCCCTCAAGTAGAACTGCGATATGATCTGCAAGACACCCACGTGGCTGTATGCTCTCCTGCTGTACCACCGCTATTTTCTGACAACTTTGATTTTCAAACAAGAGATGATTTTGTTCGTGGGCTGTTAATGAATGAGGAAATTCTTGGAAGTACCATTTATTGGTACAAATTGGATGAGGCCCAGTATGCTGCCCATGTTTCAAACTGGCAAATGTACCAGTCTGTCAGGTGTGGTGAAAGTTCTGGAGAATTATTGATTTTGTCATATGATAAATGTAGTAATATTAAGAGGGATTAGTCACAACTCACACCATTAAGTAGGTGATTGTTGTTCAGTTTTTCAAGACATTCCCCACTGTACATGGTAATTTTTAGGCCCTATATATACGAATTTTCAATGAAATTTCTGTTTCAGCCATGATATTATCTATCGTTGGGTGTATCCATTTGTTCCTGATTCACCATTTATCCAGGATGTGGAACCTTATGTGTTTCTTCGGCACAATGTTTATAAGCAGAAGTCTGTCAGACTTGGAAAGTTAGTATGCCTTCTATGCAGACAGAAGATTTTATGTAACCATAATATAGTTTTTGAATGAAAAATAGGTGACTTTTTTAAAATTAATATTCGAGAATCATCTTATTGGAAATTGTACAAGAATGTAAGTGATCAGCAATGAGAAGTAGTGGATGACAAAATTATGTACTATTATTGTTTTTTAGGTATTATATGAAGGGTCCGCAGTTGCTGCGCGGTCCGAGGCGTGAGCCTTGTGCCGCTTGGTCGCTGGGACCGTGGGTTCAAATCCCACTCAAGCCGTGGATGTTTGTCCGCATCTTTCTGTGTTGTGCTGTCCTGTGTATAGGTAGAGGCCTTGCGACGGGCTGATCCCTCGTCCAGGGAGTCCTACCGAATGTCCATAGATCAAGCCAATAGAAAGTTGGGACCCGTAAAAGGGTACCAGAAAATGTATAAACGTTGTTAAACCGGAAATAGAAGAAGGTATTTCATGAGAAACATTTGACTACCGATTTTGTTTTATTGTAAGTTAATTATCATAGATGTATCTTTTCAAATTATTGTTTGAGGTTCATTAGTTAGCAGTTTGTGTTCTTTGAGTGTGTGATAGAGCATTCTGAATATTTGAACTGTGCTCATTTTGGAGGGGTCTGTTATATGTTTGTGTGTAATGCTTTGTCCCGCATTCAGGTAATCTGGGATGAGCTTGTATTTAGTTTTGTCAGCATTTATTATTAATTTATGAAACATTGTGTATTTTAAATGTATGTTGGATAGTGGACAATGACCAGCATAATTATAGAGTAATGCATCTAATATACAGGATGCACCAGAAGTTACGTCTGAATGATTGTTCTTGTTCACTGCAGGGGTTGTTTGTTGGAGGAAGACATCGTCATTGGCGAGAATACCAGCGTTGGGGAGAACACCCATATTAGTCATTCTGTGGTTGGCAAATACTGTCATATAGGCAAGAATGTGACCATATATAAGTCTTATATATGGGATAATGTTGTTATTGGGGTAAGGTAAAATGTTCTAGTTGTTTCAAAAATGTGCAGTACATAGATTTTATTGGATATAAGCTACCTGCTACGGTATTAATTAATCTGGATTGCTTTACTTGCCTGTCAGCACATATATTTTTGTTATTGGTGTTTATAAAGGCATTTGGTATAAGGTTGAGGGACATGTTTTACCTGTGTTACAGTGATAGTATCTGAGCCATGAAGATGGTTGTCATAGTTGAAATATCTGCTTTATCATATATATTAGATGACTTTATAAAAACTTCATTGTGTATAAAAAGTAAAGTAAAAAGTAAGTAAAGCTGTCCCACTACACACCATGCAGGCGCTTGGGGTGGGGGGATATAGCTCCTACTCTTTCTTGACCTCGGCACTCGATTGGGGTAAGTGGTCAGCATCACGCCCCGGCCATGTTTTACCCCTGGGAAAGGACCCCGGTACCCATTGGACAGGAGGCTGGGTGGGCCCCAGAGCCGGTCTGAAAGAAGAGGCTAGAGGAAAAATCCTCTGCCCCCGTCGGGATCTAGCCCTGGTCGTCCAGTCTGTAGCTAGTCACTATACTGACAGCTACGACGGCTCTCATTGTGTATAAAATAAAAATAAATTGCTGTTGACAGATACAGTGATCTATGTTAATACTTATATTGGTTTACACTGACTTTCGTGGGTAGCTCTCCAGTAATGTAGTAGATGAAGGTCATATACATTTTATTGTGTTTTAGGATAACTGTCATATCAGCTGTGCTGTTGTTGGACATGATTCAAAACTGGGCACAGGTGTAAGACTTTGTAAAGGGTCTGTTCTAAGCCCAGGTGTCGTGCTGCCTTCTGACATCCATCTAGATGCAAACATTGTTGTTTGTGGTCCTTTACATAGAAAACAGAGTCTTGATCATGATGGTGAGCTGTGCTATCAGTATTTGTAGTTTATGGTATACTTTAAACATTTTATGTGAAGGAAGAGCCAAGTTTTGTGAACATTTAAGCAATGAGGAGAAATATTTTGGTTACATCTTTATTTCCAATTCTAATTCTCTTACCATCAAAGTTAAATTGAGCACACTGGTGTGACAGTAACAATTGAGACTTCTATTTGAAAGCCGTCTAGCGTGAATGTTCGCCAGGTGACCGGCTGTCATAACTGTTTGAGACTTCTATTTGAAAGCCGTAAAGCGTGAATCTTCGCCAGGTGACCGGCTGTCATAACTGAGGTGTCCACAGGTTTTTTTGTCTCTCCAGGAAAATACTACATAACTAGTGCAGTTGATATGGTGGCATTATATAAGTGATTAATCAGTCAAACTCAGCCAGCAAGTTTAATACATTACTGGTGATAAAGATGAATAAGATTTGTTGTTTCTTCCATTACAGTTTATAAACAAGAGAAATTAGCAGAGAAAGCATATCGCTTGCTTTTAGATGAGACAGAATATGACTCTGAAGACAGTGGACAGGCTCAGAAATTGTGTGGTCTTTGGTTAGGGACAAGTGGAGGAGACAGTGAGAGTGAGAGTGAAGAAGAGCTTTCAGCTAGTAATGAGACGTCTGACCGTGCATCACCTGTCCCTGATGATACATACTGTGAGTACACATTGTGGTCAGTATTTTGCAGGCTGTTCTAGTATTTTAATTGTGTCATGGTGTTCAAAAACTACGTTAACAGAGGAAACATGTCGATGGTATGTTTGTACTTCATAAAATTAGTAACAAAAAGGAAATAGATTTCACAAAACACCTGAACCATGAAGACAATGAATTTTCTTTGGGCTATTGGTTGGAGTGAAGAAATTTGTAGACTGGCTGTAAGGTGAAACTAGTGCAGTCAGTACAGAATTGGACAGGTTTCTACAAGTTAAGTTAGTCCTCACTTAAAAGAGTGCGAGTACATCATCATGCTCATATAAGAATTACAGACTGCAGTTAAGGAGTATAAAACGCAGGACTTTCATAGGTACTTCAAAAAGTGGTAGAATTGTTGGACTAGTTTATCAAGTTACAAAGGAACTAACTGCTTTGAAGGAGGCAACGTGCAATAGCTGTTAAAGACGTCAAGTATGAAGAAGAAATTAAGGCTGTAGATTTTTTGATTGCCACATCATATGAGAATATTTTGTTTCTGTTTAATTTTTATACAGTATTCTTCAGTGAAGTGATGGATTCACTGACACGAGGTTATGATGACAAGCTTCACCCTGACAACCTGATCTTGGAGATCAACTCTTCACGATATGCATATAACGTGAGTGTAAGGGAGGTGAACTACTTTGTGGTGAAAGCACTGCTCAGCCTTCCGATCCAGGCTCGCTCGGCTGACTCGGCACCAAAATATTTAAAAGAATTCAACAAAATGCTTCAAGACTTCCTCCCTATTCTCCAAAACTATGTACGCAACTCAGATGCTCAGCATGACTGCCTACAGGCCCTTGAGGTAAATGGTACATATGTGTATTAAATAAATATGGTGCATTTACCTGGAAGAGTCATTCTACCTTTATTGAGGGAACTGCTAGTACAGATTAATGCAAAGACTGCATGTGAAATATTTCCCATGTAGGATATGGCATCATCAACGGACACACTGCATGATGGCTTAAGCAAATTGCTTCATCTGTTATATGAGAAAGACATTCTGGCAGAGGACATCATCATGAAGTGGTATAACAGTGGCGATGAAAATTCAACATCTACAGCTCTCCGCAAACAGGTAATATATACAGTGACAAGTTGCCTGGAGGAACAAAATTGACGGCTCAACCTCAAGTGTAAAAGAGTATGTTACTATGTTTCAGGTGGCTCCATTCATACAGTGGCTGAAAGAAGCTGATGAAGAGTCTGATGAATCAGACAGTGACTGAATTCTCATTAAAAATTAATGAAAATTTGTTGTTATTGTTCTTGCTGTCACACGTTAATAAACCTGACATTTTTAAATGTTGTGTCATTTATTTGTGACTAATGACTAAAAATCTGAAGTCACAGTATAAATTTAGTCTTCCATTTATTTACAAATTTTGATAGGGGAGAAGAAGATTAATTGAGGGTGTTTGAAAATGGCAGGAGAAAGTGTATTTGCTCCTGATAGGAAGTAATGTGAGGATGGAGAGAATAGCATGTTTAGGAGCTTCATAGATTAATAGGTGGAAATAAGGAGGTATTTGATTGTATATCGAGTTGTTCCTAGTAGCCATGTTGCAGTGAACTAGCTGGACAAAGTTATTATGGCTAGTTCCTGTTTTACATCATTTTCTGTGTTTCATGATGCAACAGGAACTGGTGTTAATTTTTAACAGTGCACTTAGAATGTTAAAAACTAAATTTGTGTCTGTATTAGCATGTCGGGAAATACTGGGGATAGTGTAACATTTTATTTAGATCAGATGTAAAGGAACAGCTGAGAAACTTTCTCTTGATTGACAAGAATGCAGTGGTACTGGTTTTAAACAGTTAATATACATTCATTTTTAAAAGTGGAGAAGTTGTAAATGTGATATTTCAGGTTATAACAGTGGCTAGAATGAAGAAGTATGTCGTGCTCGATTATGCTAATAAAATTTTCCATGTCTCCTGCCGTACGTTATTTTTGTTTTATTCTGATATATTTTGTACGATTTATATTCTCTCTGGCTTCTTTTATCGTTTCATTCCGTGGTGTAACCAATTACAGTTAGCAGATCGCTCGTGCAGTATTATGGTGGCAACACAGTATATACTTGACGTCATAGGCAACGCGCTTTTTGTTGCCAACTTTTAACATTGAGTTACTGGAAAGATCGGAATGGTGATATTTTTTGTTTGTTTGAAGTGGAAATTATTTTGAGACATTATTGTTTGGGATTCAGAAATGGGAAGCCGGAAATTAAAAGAATCGTAGGTATTATTTGTATTGTAACGCGATTAGAATAATCTGAAGTCAATTCACTGTGGCTAATACTACTACTACTACTTGTTACAGGTTTGAAGTTGATGCAAAATATGGTGCTTTTTACACAGGCGGACAGGTTGAGGTAAGATGATTCATAAGAATTAATACAGAGTTGCAGATATTTATTAAATTGAATTGCCTCTCAACAGTCAAGCCATTGCATTACATATTCTTGAACAAAGGAATAATTGTGGGGTTATGAGTGGTGCAGCTTACTGGATCCGCTAAAGCTAGCAACGCAGGAGGAAGTTGTCTCGTGTGCATTCTGATGTATAAAAACGCCAGGTGGTGAAATTATAACGTTTGCATGACTACGTGTAGAATTCTATTTATACGTAAGTATCATGTACTTGCAGCATTACTGGTGGTTATTGATATTGAAGATGCAGAATAATGTAAACACTGCCTATTTATCTGACAGTAGCATAGATTTCTTACATGTCATACTGTACTCAGCAGTCAACACAACTTTTAAGCTTCTGTTATGGAATGAATGTGTCCATTTAGGCACATGGACCATTTGAGTAATTTTCAAATCATCATGGCAAATAATTGTCAGTAGTCAGTAACATAGTGACAAAGAATTTAAATTCAGTATAGGAAAGTATCTAAAAATTTTCACCAATCTTGAATTTACCATGGAATAATGTTTAATTAATAAATATATTAATTAGTTTCAAGCATTCTGTCAGTTTTCTTCTGATTTGTTTTGCATGATCATGGATAGCAGAATTTAAAATGTATCTGTTTGATAAATTATTATATTTTTGTTTGTATAAGACTTTTCATCTACTCACAAAATTTAACATTTTTAGATCCATTTTCCCAATGCATTCATCACCCACTAAAAGCTGGAGCTATGAATGGGGAATCTTATTTGTTATTCTTGTATGGTACATAAGAAAGCAAAACAAATTATAAAGACTGCTTCTATATTGTATTAAGGTTATTGAGAGGAATAGTTTTGGTTTATCATATTGCAAATTCTCAGAATATTAGCAACACGTGGATTCTCATGAAAGTCACAGTGACTGATATTCCACTCTTTTGTTTTTATGCCAGTGTATTAACCTAATATGAAATAGTTCTATTGTGAGAAATGGCAGAAACACCAGAGAATATGTTTTTTTATGGAACCAGTCTGGTTATTTAATTATAAGATACCATATTGCTATACTGGTTGAACAAATTTAGAGGAGTTTTGTGTATCGGTTGGCTCCCTGATTTTTCAGTGGACCAGCGATGGACAGCAGCTTCTGTGCCAGTGTGGAGCAGTAGTTAAAGTGGTGGACATTGAGCAGGGCCGAATCATTACGTCACTAGGTGCGAGCGAAGAGGAAGATGAGGATACTATCAACACATTTGTTCTGAGTCTGGACAACGAACAAGTTATCTCAAATCATAGGAGTGGACTTTTCAAGCTCTGGAAGTGGAGAGGTGTGTTGTTTTAGTTACCATTTTTTACCCCCCTCTCTCTTTGGTAAGTTGTTTGTCCAATTTCTCAAAGTTTACAGAAACAAAATAATGAGTTCATTAATTTTGCCAGTTTGATTGCAAATTATATCTGCATAATGTTCTCCAGATGGGATACTGATAAAGCAGTGGAGAAGCGTACACAAAGGTCCAGTGTCTCGACTTGCTTTAAATAAGGATGGCTTGGTGTTGGCCAGTGGTGGAACAGATTCCAGTGTTCGCATCTGGGACCTTCAACATCAGGCATGTACTCACAACCTGCGAGGATCTCAAGGAGTCATCAGGTCTGTAATTTCATTAATTTAATTTGGATTTGAAGACTTGCCCCTTTTTGAAGGTAGACTCTTATATTTGTTAGGATGTCTTTGGTAATAATATGAGTATTGATATGTAAAAGACGTTAAAGATGTGGATTCTTGCAGTGTGGTGCAGTTTAACAATGATATGGTGTTTGCTGCTGGTGATGACTCTGCTATACGAGCTTGGAACTACATTACTGGGCGACAGCAGTTGACGCTGTCTGGCCACTTCAGCAAAGTCACCGCTCTTGTATTCTGTCAAGACACAAACCAGTTGCTCAGGTGAGTTGCTCTGCGTTTACAGTTCAGGTCACATGCCGAACACGTGCCCTAGATATCACTAACAAAACTGTATTACGTGACCTGTACAAATCAGAATTTCCTTACAGTCTTGGGTTTAAACATTTTACCTGAGAAATTTGTTTCCAAAGAGCTGTAATTTGCTTTAAGTTCTTTTATCAAAGTAAGAGGACAATTTGCCTGTGTATTTCTTAGCTACTGAGCAAATTAGGAAACTGCTGTTCCATAATTATAATTGAACTTGAAGATTTCTGTCTTCTGGGTTGTTGTTCTCGATGACTTCCCTGATTAATTACGATTGAAGTTCTTTTGTTGGCTATTCCAGTTGTGGTCGTGACAGAGTCATTATTCTGTGGGACCTGTCATCTGGAAATACAGTACGTACGCTGCCCGTCTTCGAAAGCTTGGAGGGTCTGGTTCTTCTCCCTCAAAAGTTTAGGGTTCCTGGCCACATGAAGGAACTGAAAGGGGGCATTCATATAGCTGCGGCAGGTGAAAGAGGTATTTATCATGCAAATTGTATATATTGAGAGATGATCACTAATACAGGGAAGCAAATATTATGTTGGATTGTAATGAACCTTTGAGTTTCTTCAAATACAAGGGAATTTCTTGTATAGTTGAGTGGCTGTCAGTTTCTCAAGAAGGACCGTGTTTCATTTAATTAGTTTCTATGGGTATGAAACTTGGTTTCTTACCCTTAAGAAAGAATGTATTTTGAGGATGATGTTCTTATGAACTCGGCTCCACAAAACGCAGAGAATTTATAGAGGAACCCAATGAATTTCAGTTGCCAAAGAAGTGCTTTGGTAATTATTTGACGTTCTAAGTGGTTGTTGATGCAATGATATTTCAGGAGTGGTGCGAATATGGGAGGTTACAAGAGGATGTGAAGTGTTCACTCAGAGTGACTCGCTGGTTTCAAAGGCAACTGAGGAGGGCAGTCTGGCCATTGTTCAGTTGCTGTTTAATGCAGACAAGTCTTCACTGGCAGTCATTTCTGTTGATCACAATATCATCATGCATCAGCTGGCGACATTTACGTGTGAAAAGCAGGTATAGCTTCGATAAATCTGTCACCTTCTGCTAAAATACAGAATCATAACTAGTGAAGTATAGCTTGTAGACTTTACTGTTATTTGCATCTTGAAGGTAAGTGAAAATCAGAGGAATGGCGGTCCAATTAGTTTTGCTTCTCCAATCAAATGTTGTCAGTGGTGATATTAATTAATTTGATCCCTTGTGTACCCTGGTCTTTCATCATCTGGTATTTATTAAAATAATGATTGTTCATGGTGTTTTTATAAATGTTTTAATGATTTAATGAGTTCTTTATGATATTTTCAAGTGAGTTCGTAGATTTGCGCATGGCACTGTGATATTTTCCTTGTGCTGTGGAGCCTGATAAAGCTGTGATCTTGATTCAGATGTTGCTATGTTACACTTTTAAGACACAAAAAATGTGGTTTGACTACTTTGCCATTTCTGTATGTTGTCTTACAATGTGTTATAGATGGTGGGCTTCAGTGACGAAGTTCTTGATCTAGTCATGTTGGGTACCGGAGACTCTCACTTGGCAGTTGCTACCAACAGTATGGATATTAAGCTGTATAGGCTGAAGGATATGAGCTGCCAACTGCTGAAAGGGCACACTGACCTAGTTCTCACTCTAGCGGCCTCTACGAGCAACCCTTTATTGCTCTTGTCTGGTGGAAAGGTTTGTAATGGTATTTGTTACTTTTCTCTCCCCTCCCCCCCGTATCCAGTACACACCATTCAACATGGTGTGCATTGGTGGTTAGCAGGATTCACGACCCATCAGTACGTGGGTTCGATCGGGACCGCGACATTTAACGCTCCTGCTGTGACCCCCTTTTTGCGAGATGATTATGATGAAAGTGGAGTAATTTTTGGAATGCCACGGAGAAACCGGGGAAGCCCCGGAGGAAAACTCCATGATGCCTGGACCACGGCCTTGCCCAACACAAGTTGTAAATCTGAGCACTGCCAGGAATCGAACCCGGGACCACAGTATTACAAGCCCAGCGTTCTAACTGCTAGACCACCGTAGTTATAGGGATAAGTTGTAATAGTTATAATGAAGCTGGGTATTATTTTAACCTTTATCATACAGGAATAAGGGGTTTAAACTGCGGTACTACGGTGCTGCTTGCCAGATGTTTAACTATAGGGTTAACAGTTTAGTGGTATGCTAGTGCAATGCACAGCCAGCTGGACTTTGCATTAACTGCGACATAGTGCCAATAAATTCTAATATTCTTTGTGGGTACAGTGAAAAAATGCAATGAAAGTATTAAGTCTTCTGGTCTCTGGTTTGCAAAGGTACATTTGGTTACCAAACCTAATGGGAATGTTTGTTTGTCTGCAGGATAACTCAGTGCGCCTGTGGCTCATGGATCCACAGAGCTGTGCTATAAATTGCGTTGGTGTTGGATCCAGACACACACTCTCTGTGGGTTCCGTTGCCCTCAGTCAGCTGTCATCATATTTTTTCCTTTCTGTTAGTCAGGATTTGTGTATCAAGCTTTGGAGAATACCCAAAAAGTTGAATCCAGGTAACATAAATGCAGATAGATTATAAGCGTTGAATGTAATGTATAGTTAAGCCTCTATATAACCAACTTCTCTATAAAGATGCACTTTAATATGAGACATTACCTAAATCTGAAATATTGAATTTCCAATGTTGCAGATGAGGTACAGAGTCTAAATGTGGATCTCACAGAAATTGCACATGACAAGGACATCAACAGTGTTTGTATCTCGCCCAATGACAAATTGATTGCCACAGGTTCACAGGATAAAACTGCTAAGGTGGGTTGTTTACTCAGTATAACTTAACTGCATGGACCAGGGTCCTTCTTGAGAAGCTGATAGTCACTCACCTTTTCAGTAGATGCCCTACATTGTGTGGATCCTGAGAGTTCATTATTGTGTTCATTGGATCTAGTTGTTAGTCACACTTCCACTTTTTTTTAATGTTAACGTTCCAACTGTACCCCCAAATGGTCTCTTCCAATGAGGTTGGACCAGCATTTTGTATATGCTTCTTATTTTCCTAGTCCATAATATTGACATGCTTTTCTATGTGTGATTTTTTTCCAGTTCTTTGTTGCTTAATATCTTTAGATTCCATACTAATTTGTTCTCAGACACTGTCAATATATGGTGGACCATGTTTCACGTCCTTATAAAACGTGTTGATTTTGCAGTATTAAATTCTACACAGACAGGTTATGTTTGAACATTTGTTGTTTCAGCTGTGGTCTTCAGAGGGGCTGAAACTACTTGGTGTGCTGCGAGGACATAGACGTGGAGTGTGGTTTGTGCAGTTCTCACCTGTAGATCAGGTACTGCTGTCATCATCAGCCGACTGCTCTGTCAAATTATGGGCTCTGGGAGACCTTACCTGCATTAAGGTAATTTAAAATTTTTACAGCTGTGAAAGTTGAGATTGTAATCTCCATGACTGGTACATTCTGTTGTACATCCAGCTGCATTTCTACGCTGAATATGGAGGCAATTGCTTTCATCAAAATGGTAACCACTTTTAGTCCTAATGTGGTGTCATAACCCACTAGACTAGAAACTAAGTACCGTGGTGCATTCTTATAATTACATGATAATTCGTGGCGGAACTTTGGTATGTGATGTAGGATTCATTTAAATAGTGTGTACCTTTACTGAAATACTTCAGTGATCTTGTCGGCTGTCTTCGTGAAGAGAACTGTGCTTATGTTGTAGACGCTTGAAGGACACGAGTCCTCTGTTCTCCGAGCTCAGTTCATCAGTCACGGCATGCAGCTGGTAACAGCAGGAGCTGATGGCCTTCTGAAACTGTGGAACATCAAGACTAGCGAGTGCATGGCAACATTCGATGAACATGATGGTAGAATCTGGACCCTTGCAGGTGTGTGACAGTGATAGATTTATTACAATGCAGTTATGTTGGAATCTGTTGTCAAGTGTCTCAGACATATTTGACCCGTCAATGCGGAATCATGTGCGTTATATGTAGATGACTCCTGCTTTGTGCTTTAATTTCTTTTATGCGTTGGTTTTTTGTTGATTAAAAGAAATGTGTAAATTTGTTGGTTTTAAATGGTGGGATTGGTAGCGCTACGAGTGGAAATTTCTTCCCTCAGCAGTTTAGGGTCTGGGATTTAAAACTGCCCATGCAGAAAGGTCAGTATATAATCCACTTTCAAAAATACATTTTTGTAAATATTTAACATGTGACTGAGATAAAAAAGGAAAAGTGGGAGCTCTATAAATAATTTCTCAGGTAAAGATTGATCCAAATTTTGAATTTGAACAGCAAAAGAACTGATAATCTAATATATTACAGTAGTATTTATAGTCTTTATTCATAGGGGAAAGATTTTCATACTTCTTTAATTTATTGCTCAGTAAGTAAGGATGAATCATTGGTGATCAGTGGAGGCTCTGACTCCAATCTGGTGTTGTGGCGAGATGTGACGGAGAAACGTCAAGAGGAAGCTGAAGAAGCCAGGCAGAAATTAGTACTCCAGGAACAGGAATTGGCAAACCTTTTGAAATCGGATCGACTTTTGTCAGCACTAATTCTGGCTCTGTCTCTGGATCGACCCCTGCAGGTTCTTCAAATAATCCGAGGTGAGCGCCGTTGTTGCACGGCGGATTTTAATTTATCACAGAAGTGTTGCTGGAAGCACGAAGTGGTTGACATTTCTTCTCTTAAAGTCCTTGGTATTTTATTATGACTTAAATGTAAGAATTGCCAAGTGTTTATATCACTGGTCCCATTGAATTCTCATTTTGCAGAGGTGCTAAAGGAAGGCCAGGAAGGCTTGCATTACACAATAAGGCACCTGGACTCTGACCAAAAACAGGCACTGCTCAGGAGTGCCACCTTGTGGAACTGCAATAGCAAGAACTGTCACCCTGCACAGGTGAGACTGGCGTGAGAAATAAAGCGTTCATTAGAGCAAGCAGATTGGGTTTGTAATTGTGCAATTTAAATGTGTGAATATATGATTGAAGTGGGCGTTGACTTTGAAAGGGACACCGTTTTCTTGCAGGTTGTGATTTCAATCCTGCTAGATGACTTATCAAGTGGGGATCTCAAGGTACAAGCATTTTCCAGCACACTAGAGGAAACTTTACCGTACACTGATCGTCATTTTAAGAGGCTAACACAGCTCTTGCAGGATCTGCATCTCCTTCAGTACGCTTTCTATCAAATGCACAATGAACGTCAGGGGGGAGGCAGTACGTTGAAACAGTGGTGAGTATTCAGCTTACAGAGAAACCACTGATTTCTCAAAATTCATTTCAGTAAAACCAAGATGTCAAAGTTTGAGACATTGATATGAATGTATTGCTTTAATTTAAAAATAGTAATTATATACAATCATACAGTATTAATTTGAACAGGTAATTATAATTTTTTGTTATTGAAATTGTACTCAATATTCTAAATAATTATTAACTGGCATTATCATTCAAGCAGAAAAAAGGCTGGTTTTTAAGCATCACACCTGCAAGAATCTTCAGGGTAGATGTTGGAGGTTATAGGTTCTTCAGAAACAGTGGTAAACACCCACAAGACTATATTGCATCACAACCCAGAAGACCATACAGTCTTTGTTACGTTGCATTTGATTGGTTATATAAAAACGTATCAGTAACACAATTAGCTTGGTCCATATTTTCCCTGTGCCAGTAATGCGTCAATTATTACCACCTTTACCTTCTTCACATTCCACACACAGCATTTGTAATTTTGTCTTTATCAGGCTAAAGTGTTTTTACAGTTTTTAAGCTGTCACAACTGCTGCTTACAGAGTGGGCACTGTCCATATTGAATTATGCATTTGCGAAGGCACTGCCCGTGGAAGATGTGTGAACAAGGGGTGATGCGGACTGCAAAGAGGTGCATGTCATCCAGACAGACAGGGCAGGTTGAGTCTCCTCGTTCTGTGATCTGTTGCAACGTGGCCAGTGGGAAGGGTGCGATCACAGCTCGCTGTGCTGCAAGGGGACCCCAATAGCGATCCAATACTTGTAGCCCACACACGTAGACATTGGCATACCTTCAACACAAGAATGTGACTTAATAGTTTGCAATTTGCAATATAACAAATATGCAGCTGTCTGTGTATTTTGATTTTTGTACTGAAGACAGGTGTCAGGAATTGCATCAATATGAGGCAGTTACACAAGGAGCCACAACTCTATCCTGAGCCAGATGAATTTGGTCCACACCCAATTCTTATATTTTTCAGATACATTTCAGTATTATTCTCCCATCTATTCTTAGGTCTCCCAGGTGGCTTCTTCTGTTCAGGTTTTTTTTTACTAAGATGTTGCATATATTTATTTTTTCTGCCATGCTACATGCTCTATAATAAGGGGTTCAAATCATGGTTAAGAGTAGGTGCTATAGGTAACATTATTTCTTGTTCAAAAAAAATATACATTCATAACAATGACATAATATGTAATCAGTTTAATTATTTTGGTACAGTTTATTTTAAGGAGAACTTGGGTACATTCACTCATATTCATACAAATGTCAGTGTAAGGTATATACCCAACGATGATGCACAGTGTCCAATAGTTAAACTGCCATACTGCTGCCAGCGTTAGTGTAACAGAAAGCGCAACCGTGCTGCCATAGATGGCGAGAGGAACCCAGAACTCTTCAAATCCCTCAAGCACCTGGAGCTCCAAATGTCTCACTGCAGAGACGATAAAAGTCTCCTCTCCAGCTGCTCCTGTAAAAGTATGAATGACTTTCATATTGTTCAAAGGAAAATATCCCACAAGGTTGACATTTCCAAAGACCCTGTTTAACCTACATTCCTTGTCCATATGCATGTGCCTCCATCTTAGTACACAGCAACAATTCAAACGTTAGCTGTGTGATAATTGATCATGCCAGTAATTTTAGTGAAGTGAAAGCCTTCATGGTCGGAAACTGATTTCGAGACAGTTTGATCCAACACAGCCAGTTGATTGTAAATTATTTAATGGTGGAACTGTCTGAAACACGTACCTTTGTATTGAGACAGGAGGAAGTACAGAAGCGTTAGTGCAACGTAACTGTACGTTAGCTCCAGGTGATTGAACTGCAGGGTGAATGTTAACAGAACCATGCTCATGGCCATTCCCTTTCCCAATCTAACAATGATGAATGCTGTAGTGAGTTTAATGAAGTCTGCAGCTGAATTTTCATTTAGCAGCCGTGACCAGTGGCGAGTCTGTCAACGGAAAAGTTATTCCATTTTTAAATTTTCATAGATGTCTTCTCAAGGAGGCCTCCTCACACAACTGTTTGCTTCTTGAAATGTGCTTCTCCAAGTTTGTTTTGTTTTTCGTAAACAGACCTTTTTAAAAACAAATTCCATTTCCAAATATGCTATCTATAACCTGATCAAATTTTCAAGGCCTTCAGATTTTTTAGTCATTTTCCTTCTTTGATTTCTTCATCTGTTACATTTTATTACTGAAATAAAATCTTTCAACTTTTTTTAAAGTGAACAAAATTAGCTTGCAAGATAAAATGCTGCATTTAAACATTATGCGAACCAGTTAGAACATATTTCTGAGTCGTCATCTTGATCGTTAGCCCAGCTATTGCATTGTATTTATGTGGCTTCCTTTTGCACCTGTTTTACTCATGTATGTATTCCTGTTTCTTTTTTCCATGAAAGAGAAAAATATCTATAAATTTCACCCTGCCCGTTTCATGTGAGATTCTTACATATAATGAACGCTGTAGGTAGGCAAGTACAGTGTAGAAGAGCAGGCAGTACAGGCATGCCAGGCGCTGATCTGGGCACAGTATCTTTTCTGCCAGAAGGAAAAACAATACCTGCAATGGAGAGTTTATATTTAAAAATATGTCCTGTCCTTTGGACAGTAAAATGCTTCTGAAATTTTTGGGTCATGTAGAGACATGAAATTTATCCTGTATTTATCCTAAATGAAAACAAGAAGTGGTTTAAATAACTTATGTCTGCTTCAGGCCTGAAAATATGTGTAGACAAACAGACATCAAGTTAGCTCTAGAGAGCTTCATTTTAATGAAGTTATACGCAGTTGTTTAAGATGTCACAACTGTTGTTCCCATCAGCGATACATTAGGAATGAAGCCCTGAACCTGCGCATTTTAATAGTTTCCTTTACAATATGCGTAGGGTCATTTCCCATGGCTTTTCCGTCTAGTTCTGAAAAGTCAGTTCTAACCTTCTTCTAGAGAAGCTAACAGTCTCTCAACTAGTCAAAAAATGTCCTGCCTTTTATAGAAGCCAAAAATGAATTACTGTGTTCACAGGAGCAGGGCACCCCCAGTTTAATTTTTTTTTATCTAAACAGAAAAAGTCTTATCCTTAAATTGAAAGTTATAACTTAATGATTTGTGTTTGTATAACATCGCTGCAAGTGTGAAGTTTTAGTAACTAAAATATGTCAAATGTAACTTGATATTCATATAAGGCCAGTAGAGCAGAATATTCAAAGAAAGTGGTGGAGTAGTTTGCATATATTATAGTATTCAAAATGTTCCAGGATTTATTCTAGTTATTGCTACAAATATAAAAAAAAATTAAAATACATTTTAGAATAATGATGACGTTTGCCTGAAATGTATCTTAAAAATGGACAATGTCCAGTGCTCGTTCTATATACCTGGTTTGTGGTGGTATGGATGGTGTCTAGACGCATGTACAGATTATGCAGGCACGTCATCAAGGCCCATGTCCGTCTTGCACTGTAGTGTAGAATATCTATGTCCCACATGTGTGCAGCGATGCTCCTGCACAAGATGGCAGTTTCTATAATATGAATCTATTGAAAATACTCGAGCAAAATTGCAGTTTTATGTACTTATCGTGCCAATGTTTATCAGTCTGTTTATAACACAGTTTGTCTACTAAAAAAATTTTGAACAGGAAGAGAGAAGAGAAAGGAGATGATTTATTAACCATGAATAAAGTGGAAGAAGTGGAAGTTTTATAAGTCCTAGTTAGAAGTGTGGTGGGGTGTCCGAATGGCATATTCTACAGAAATGTATTTATTTTAGTGAGAATAATCAGGAATATTAATGCAGGTGTACTGAGGTTTAAAACTGGTGGTAAATTATATATGTCTAGCAGAGCATGTTATACAGATAAATTTTTAAGGAAAAAATTGTGTGATGTGGTCTTTCAGATTGTCATACCTTGTGGACTTGTATGTGGGTACCAACATTCTAGACGAACATGCTGCCGCCATCGTCAGACCTGAAGTACTTCTGTGCCCACAAGTACACATGACTTCACAACTTATAAGATCACCATCAGCAAGAACAAAAGTGTTTTTTTGTTGTTGTAATAATTGTTTAAAATAATGTGACAACCATTGGGAATACAACATTTGTATGTTGGAGTTACAACAAAAGATCTGTCTGGATGAAATGCCGAGGCACACGTGTATGTGATAATATTGTGCTACTATATCTTAACCACGCATTCCATGACATCCACTCATGTGTCCATGGTTTCCTGAGGAGGAAATGTCCAAATTTCAGAAAAGTTAAGTGATTTTAAGTGTAAAATATTACGTAAATTGTGTCCCATTCATGACAGTTAAGGAATTCTGGTTATTAAAATTAAATACATGTACTGTTAAATATACAGTAAATGTTCAGACTGTACGCCTTCGGCTTTGATATATTTTCTGGCTCGGTTTATCTTAAGATCACTGGTACTGCAAGTATATTCAATATTGTTCTGTATGTATGCTGCAGCATCCAAAATTTGATACTGATATTTTTTTTCTATGTGTAGACTAACAGCTTCATATTACCTTAAAGATTAAAATTCATGGGAATGAGTTCTGGATATCTTGCCGGCCAAACATATGGTGCACAGTTTAAACATTTAATGTATACAAATTTAAAAATGTTATGAGATGTGAAGGAATTGTATCATTTATGAAACACATGATTCAAATAACAGCATATTACATTTCTGAGGAACATAGTTCCTTCATCTTCAGTCCTGAAGATGGAGGCAGTATGTTCCTGCAAAATGTTAGTATCTACTTGCGAGTCTACTTGACGTGACAACCCAGAAGACCAACATCGACATCTTCATTACCATTTTTACCTGAGTGCGTGTTATTTAAAGAACTAAGAATTGCTGTTTATTATCAGTGAAACTTCTGACTTGAAGCAAGGTTTGGATATTTAGCTAAGAGAGGCGCAAATGCTAGTCTAAGTTTCTCAAGAGTTCTGTTCGTTCATGACGATGGCCGTCTCACACAGATAATGATTTGTAATGTGCTGTCTGCTTCATCATCAAGGTAAGTACACCTATGTAGAGGTGTGATGAGGCCGGTTGGTTACCTTAATGGGACCAGGGGGAGTGTGTCACTGCTTGAAGACGCACCTCATTCTAGCAAACAGAGAGCCAGCCGAGTAGAAGCCTGTTGCCATCGGCACTACAAGTGCCACGTATACCAGCGCTAGTGAGAGGAGCGTGACCATGCTATACAGTCGTCCTGCTAATGGAATGAGGAACAGTGGTGCCAGCAGACATCCTGTAGTAGAATGATGGATCAGATTTACGACTGCTACTCTTACTTCGGTATTTTCGCATTATGCATCTTGTTTAGAAGTTCAAACCCTTCTGATATGAATTTGATGTCAGAAGAAAACATTAGTGAAACAAGCATATCCTACCATCTCTCACCAGTTGAAGGTAACATTGAAATTTACTGATGATGGTTTCCATAAACTATTTCCACTCCCCATTTGCAAAGGAAAAATTTTTATTGCAAACCTAAATGATATAAAATTGTCTCACAAGAAATGGGATGAAGGTGGCAAATGCCTTGTGATCTTTAGTAGTTTGGCTGTCTTCGAAACTTATGGTTTTCACTGGGGTATCATTGAATAAATTCAGCATTCATTGAAAAATTAATTTAACTGCAAAGGGATGTTACTTGCACTTAAGTGGTGAACACAAAGGTTGATTATCCTGTTAGGTAATGTTAAGATTCATGACCAAACTGGGCTCATATTTCTTTTAACAACTCTACAACAAAGTAGTGGTATAAACCTACCACCCTTACCCGCAGTGGCGTTTCTGTTCTCCAGTTCATGTAGAGCTGCTCGGTAACGATAAGGGTTTCCCACCATGACTGGCCTTAGAATCAGATCATTGTAGAAAGCCTGCAATACTAGTGTATACAATTTTAAGGATCTTTAATTTGCAGACAAGTTTATTTTGCAGGTTATGTACAAACAAAATTCAAGAGAATTGTGTGGTTAATATATTTTTTCATGAAGGTTTCAAATTTAATATCAAAGTCCTTAGTTAACATTTCAAAAATAAATGAGGAAATAATCGTGAATGATTGTTGTCAGTTATAGAAAGTAAAATATATTTCTCCTGGTATTGAATACATTAAAGAAATCTTTGTTCTGCAATTGTTTCTCTGGACAGCGTTTACAGATTGATCTTTTTGTTGGAGACGCGATGTGTTTCCTTTGCGGTAGGAAATGGAGTTGCAGGTATTATTAGGATGAAATTTATGTTAAAAAGATTCTTCTTTTAGGACGTGTGCGGAAGCAATCATTCAGGTCACCCACAACTTTGTTTAAGAACATCGGATACAAATTGTACTAAATTCAAGAGTGTATTTAGTAGAACTCGTCTTATGCTATGTGTAGAATGTTGGCGTCTTTATCGCTCCCCAGCTTGCCAAATGTGACGTCAATTCTAACATTATAAAGTAATTATATAACTACGATATTGCTTTTCGGAACTGATCAAAATATTGTCCTTTAGGCTATGATCTGTGTTATGACGACGTAAAATTGATACCTCCCGTATGGAGGCAGCAAGTTCTTTAGAATCGTTGGTAATGGTAACCGTCTACGATGTCATAAACCAGAAGACCACAATATACGTTTTTACCTCCTGAAAGCGTCAGTTTTTAATCTTTTTCTCGCTTCCAATTCCAGTTTTTTGTAAGCAATCCGTTGCGTGAATCACAAACACAACACCAAATACGCCATTGCCGACTTTCCGCTACTGCCTAACCCGCCAACTCCATTTTCACAACGCCAGTTTCAAAAATATCCACGAACAAGCAGTCACTTGAAATTGGCAAATGAGCCAAGTATATATTTAGGCGAAGTGCTGAGGCCACACCGCTAGATAATAATCGGCACCAACTACTGAATAATTGAAATATATAAACATTCAGTTTAGGAATCCTGTATAGGCATTCATACGTGTCTATACTTACCCGTTATATTGGAACGGACGCAATTACTTATAAATTTATTTTAGTATATGTAATAACAATGAACGGTGAAAGCCTTATCATTCATAGTAGGGTCTATATAGTTCTGATTTATCGCCAGTTGAAATAAAAATGAACCAATTGGTTATCTGTGGAATTAATTAAAAGTGAATAGTGTTGTGTTAATTCAATGTTTATCGAGGTCATTGTTTTGTTTAGTAAAGAGCTTTACGTCAAAGATTCGTCTTAAAGTCAACCTGCCTCCATAGTTCGAAAAAGAATCCTTTAAACGAGTCGGACATATGAACAAGATAATTTTTAATATGCTGTTCTGAAACATTCTGTCTGAATTATGCTCATCTGAAATTTCGAGTTTTCGCGGCGATTACGAACGTCTTGTGGTGTATAATCTAGAAATTGACCGACTGTTCAGAGGTGGTTACTGCTTCCTTAATCAAGACATTTTATACGAGTTTACATAGCTGAAGATCATAGAAGACACTGCAATTCTGGCTCAAAATTATCGTCAGTAAAAGGAATTGGTTTGTCAGACCACGCGTGATAATACGGGTTACATGCAGTGAGGCGTCAAATATGACGTCATACATGCCCACCATTACCTTGCATTGGTCAAAGTTGTCAAACTCAAAAGATGAATTAAAATCACCTTGAATTTAAAACAGTGGATACCTATTAGCGGAACAACGTTTAAAAAATATGGATAAATTTTAGAGGTTTCTACTTCGTATATTTTTCAGTACTGAGGAAACGTAGGGGAACTGATTTGATAGTAATTATTAACCATCAAACCTATCATATGGTTAAAGCAAATATGGAGTGGGATGATATTGTATATTTAGTATTGCTTTTATTTTCGATAGGAATTGGTTACGTCTTTCGACAAATAGAAGATAAAGAAACTAGAAAATGGTTAAGTTCTGGTTTAGGATTTCTTCTGGTGCTCATTGTATCAGGCAAACATATTATGCATCCTATAATTTGTACTGCTATAAATGCATTTATCATTCTTGCAACGGATAGAAGGTGAGATTGTAGGATAAAATGGGATGTCAAGGAACTAGTTTGTTTTCTAACTCGTTTAAGAACACCCAAAGTTCAGGAACAACTTTCACAAATTTACCGAATTTAGGTTAGGTTTACTTTGATACCATGCCTCAGCCATTCGCACGGAATACCAGAAACCTGTCACCATGTCCACAGGACAGGAGCTTGCCGCTCGACCTTGTGCTGGGCCAGGTGACTTTAGGCCACATTCTTACACCTTGTTTCTTTAAGAATCATTTTAACATCATCCTTTTAGCACTTTGGTTTCACAAGTGTTTACTTCAGAATTTATCACTAAAATTGTGTATGCCCCATCCATCTGAGACTTAATTTGACTACTCTGATAATATTTGATGAAAATAAAAATTATAAAATTCCTAATTTTGTAGTCTTCTCAAGCTGCTCAATATGCATTCTTATATTCAAATATTATCAGCACTCTTTTCATCCCTTGAATTGCAACGGAAAAACTTTATAGTTTTGTATGTTTTAATTTTCACATTAGTAGGTAGGAAAAGGAAGATGAAAGTTTCTGAACTGAATGGCAGAAACTATTCTTCAAATTTAATATGCTTTGAATTTGTTTATAAATGTAATTTCTGTTTGTGTTATTCTCAGACTTTGAACTCTGCAGCACATTTGTGTACACAGACATATATTATGTCAACATGTGGTGTTTAAATACTTATAATTTTTGTTTGTTTCAGAAAATGTCATATTGTGAGCTTCTTCTTTACATTTGCTTACTTGTTCTTCTTCCGTACAACCCAGTACTTTGGAATACCCTATCCTCCAGCGCACACAAATATGATACAGATGATTGTGACACTAAAGGTGATTGTGCTTTAATATTTGCCCTTGGTGATACTGTTTAGCTTCTTGAATGTATGGCAAGCATTAGGACAGTGATTTAGAAGTGTTTATGAATAATACAAAGAATGTCAGATGCAACAGTGTTTAAGATGCTGTCAAGTTTTTTTTGTTTTTTTTATATACATACAGTGTACCAATTTAGCCATGTGATTTATACTTCCATATTTTTGCATGAATATATTTTTTAAAATGAGTGTGAATGGAGCATATTTTATATTGGTGTGTGTGTGAGAATGATATGGCTCCATATATTGAATTTTGACATTTATTAATCTGTTGTGTCAGAATTTGATATTCGTAATTGTAAGGCAGTTTTACAAGTTGTTATATTAATTGTATTTCTGCCTCTTAATAATCCATAGGCTATAATATGATTTTTTATCACATTGATGTTTAAGTATTGTCTCTTAATCGTATTTGTTTTCTTATTTAGTGTTGTGAATAATTTATGAGACATTTTTCTTTCTTTAGGTGGCAGGCCTGGCATTTGAAGTTCATAATACTGCTGCAGCTGCAAAGGAAAAGGAACATGATGATAGTGCGGCTTTTGCAAAATTAGAAGCTGCAGAAGTTCACCCAAGCTTCCAGGATGTTTTCCATTACACATTTTGCTACATTGGAATTATGACAGGTGATTACGTGGTTTTATTGTTGCTCTAAAAATTTCGTATGTTGCATTACTTTTGTTTGCCAGAAAAAAATAGTTTATGACAGTTGTGTTTCAAATTAGTTTGAGATGAGAAGAGGAAGCTGCCATGGCAGCAAGTGAACTACCGAGAAATAAGTTAGCCACAATGCGGAACATTGCTGTAGTTGAGTTCCAAGTTATGTGGGACTGTCTACAGTAACTTGACTACTTCTAAATTTAGGAAAATGATACATGAATGTTGCAAAAATTAATATAATGAACAAGTTACAAGAATGTGATGATCTTAGCAGTTAACAAGAGAAAAAAAATATCCACACGCTAATCGATAATGGCGCAGTGGTCACTGTAATATCCGTCAGCCTAATGCCAGATCTGCAACATAATTGTACATATATGTTGGGTTCCAGTTTTAACATAGATGAACAGTGAAAACATTATTTGTGGATGTTAATAATAGATTTGCTTTCAACCTTGTTTTTCAGGTCCATACTATACGTACCGAACATACCGTGACTGGTTAGAGTATCCATTTTTGTTGAGTGCTCCATGTAAAGATGCAACTATTCAGAAGATGAAGTATGTGCCATTATATGCTGTCTTATTTGTTATTGCATCAACTATATTTCCTCTTAAGGTAATTCACAATGTAAAGGTTTTTCCGATTTACGGTATTAGATCAGAAGAAAATCCCAAGACTTCTACATCCTTAAAGTAATATTTTATATATATATATATACCAGATCTGGCCACCAGTTTTATCCATTACACATTGTCTGAAACTTATTTTTAAAATGTATACCCGATAAATATTATATCACACAACCATTTGCCGCAATCTGCACATAATTTGCCGTTTGTTTAAAAAAAATTATTTTTGCTTTTTTATGAAATGATTTATGTTCACAAGTATAGATGTCTTTGTTCAGTTCATTTCTTAGTGTACGCCCATTTTAATTTGTTGAATTTCTTATTCATTTTTGGGGCAAAAATTTTCTCCCTGGGTACCAACAGATCATATTTATACATGGGTATTGAATTAGCACTTGTGCACAGAAGTATGCAAGTACACGCAAAGGAAATTTATTTCTGCATGTAGTAGTGAATAAACCCCTTTGTTCAGGTTTAATGATTCGATTATTTCTTATATCTTTGTTTAAGTTTAAATGTAATTTTGAAAATTACTGTGACTTAAAATCTGTGTAGTGTGAAGAATTACTTATAGGAATTTTATTACATTGTGGAGAATGTCTCATGCCCCACATGTTTGTTTGATTTATGTTACTTACTTGCTGTAATTTTTATATTACAGTATGCTGAGTCAGAAGAGTTCTATAATGAGCGGTCAGTCTTCTACAGGATCTGGTATATCAACCCGACTTTCTTTATTTTCCGCATGCGTTTATACACGGGAATGGTTTTATCAGAGTGTGTTTGCACAATGGCAGGACTGGGGGCTTACCCAGAATTCACAGCGCCTAGTGCAGGACATGGTCCTACGAAGGAGTTCGGCAAGCTAAAAGAAATGTGGGTACCCATACAGGCTAATTTGTAAGGACCATATCATGTTAAAAGATGTGTGCTTGACGTTTTTATTGGTTATTTCAGATTTCACAGTATGCAAGAGTAGGTTTCGTTAAGTGGGTTTATTCCTCCTCGGGCTGTAGCCGGATGCAGTCGATACAAACTTTGGTTCAGTCTGCGTCAATATTCAGATATTAATATCGCCCTTTTTTAGTTTTACTGCCTGGTATTGGTTTAGAGGACGTAAAACATCTGTTCCTAAAGGCGGACTTTATTCTTGCGTAGACGCATTTGTAACGCAAGAAAATTTGGTACACGTTGCTTTTCGGAGGGGTCATCACAAATGTTGCAGCAGTTGTCGCACTTTGACGCCAAGTGGCTATTCCGGTATGTAAGAAATTGGTGTCAAGTGTCTTTAGCCAGGAAATGTGAGCGTGACGCAGATCGGCATAAGTTGCAAATCGCGTACCAGCCAGGCACTTGTTTAGAGGTTTAAAGAGATTGAAGTCACTTGGTATAAGTTCAGAATTCATTTGCTGGTAGTCCTGTACTTTTTGAAATACCCTCATAATTGATTATGTTTTTAAAGCTCCATTTTGTTTTTAGAGCATCAAATAATCTGCTTGCCAAGGAAGAAAAATACAACTTTGAGACAATCCACAATGTAGATCCGTACGGATCTGAGTTTGTACCTACATTTCGCAATGGCATGAAATGCTGGAATATGTGTATACAGTACTGGCTGGCTGTAAATGTGTACAAACGGCTTGCACGGAATCAGTTCAGGTATATCTGCTGACTCTTAAGGGGTTTATGGGTAACATTTCTTATCTTGAATGTTAAGGTAATCATCAACGTACGTAACCTTTCCAGTATCGTTTGTGGACTAAAATTTTCACGGAGAAAATGTTTGGTGTACATCACGTCACGAGGAATGTGTTAAAATCTGTTAAGTTCATAATTAAATTTTTTTGTGACTTTATTATATATATACACACACGCTTATATACGTACAGTGGGCATTCTTCCCTTACTATAAAACTGCCGTTGCTACTAAGTTTGATGAATTGATGTATGTTCGTTGTGTTTCACAGACCACTGATCACTATGACCATATCAGCAATATGGCATGGTGTTTATATAGGATATTATCTGTGCCTCATGTCAGCTCCCATGTATCTTCCTGTGGAGGACGTGTATATAAAAATCAGGAAAGATGCTACTGGCTTGGTATGTATCACTCTTTCGTACACGCAAGTAAATTAGTCTATCAGAATGGAATTTTGAGAAAGTTTATTGTGTCCACTTTCTTTTAAGTGCTGAAGTTTTGTAGAAAGAACAGCAAACGTTGTTGACGATGGTTTGGGTTTTGATGCTGTGTGGACTTTGGCCAGTTTCGCTCTAGCCTAGCTTTTCTCATGACTGTATAAACTATCCACTTTCAACACTCCTTCTTCAGGCTTGAAGATGGTGACGGTATGTTTCTTCAGGACATTGGTGTCTACCTGTGGGTGCGCATGCTTATATGTGTGTATGTGTGACAGAAGTGAATTGTGGGATTTCATTTTTATGTAGAGTGTAATCTCTGGCGTGTTTTGAAGTGTGCATATTAAAGAAAATGTTTAAACTTTGATAATGTAGCTGAGATATTTTTATGGGGAATGGAATAGATTGTGAATAAATGCTAATTTTGACAAGGTTCTTAAATGGTAAAATTTGATTTATGACAGTTTGCAGCAAAAACTTGGATAATATTAACATTGTCTATAGCTGTCTTATATGATTAAGAGCTGAAATCTTGCATTGGTCCATACAGCCGTAACGTTTCAATTTTGCAAGAACGTATTCTGTAATTTTTGTTCTTTTACAGGAAGCAAAGTTTTGGGACTTTTTTCTGTGGTTCTTCAAAATGCAAGCGTTCTCATATATGGCGATTGTCTTTTTGCTGCTGCATATTGAGCTGACCTTCAAGTACTGGAGCTCTGTCTACTTTGCAGGACACATAGTCGCCATCATTCTCTTCGTTTCTGGTAAATTTATTCTTAAATTTCGCAGAAGGAAGAGCAGATCTGTATCCAAAAGTGAGTAGTTTGGATTCATGTGAAGTTTGGTTGATGTCCGCCTGCTACATTCCTTTGGTTTGGTGTTGAGGTCTCCATAAATAAAACTTGTGTTTCCTTTTTATCATTTTATATTCCTAGTATAAAGTGGGTACCTGGGTCCTTTCCTGGGGGTAAAGTGCGAATGGAGCATGATGCTGACCACTCACTCCCATCTAGTACCAAGGTCAAGAATGAGTAGGAGCTGTACCTCCTCTCTTCCCCCCCATCCTCTCCCCAAAGTGTCTACATGGCATGTAGTGAGACAGCTTTACTTGCGTTATAGTCTTATTACATATGAATCAGGAGTTTTATAAAAACTTTGAAAACAGACAATATGAGTATTCAGTTAGAATAAGAGGATTCTTTGGCATGAACAGTAAACCCGGAGATGTTGGAAATATTAATTTCATAACACGTGCTTTCATTTTTTTAACACACTAAATTATGGCATTCTGAAATTTGATATATCTGTATGTGGAATTCTGAAGGAATTTTTTGGTGATTGCAATTGTGAGAGAGTGGAAGTTCCTTTGCAAGTGTATGGGCACTGATTTGAAAGCTGATTTCTACCCTGATGTCTTGCAAAAGTGAAAACTTTGCAGCCGTGTTTACAAAAGATGTGAGGTTATGTTATAAACTTGACCTTGCAGTCATGGTAGTTAAGCTCATCCGTGGCGCGACAACGTCTTAGCTGACTGTGTGGACAATAAATTGTTATCATATTAAGGATGTCCCAGGTTCAAATTTCAGCCTGGAGACCAGCTATCCTGACTGGGGTTTTTGTAGTTTTCCTCAGTCCCCCCAGACATGCCAGAATAGTGCCTCAAATTAGTTCATGACAGCATCCTTCCACATCCTTTCCACGTCATTATGCACTTGTTATCTTTCCATTTGATGCCGTCTATGTAGTATGAGCTAAGACAACATCATTAAATAACACAAACCAAAGGACAGCCATCATGAAAAGTGTTAAGGGATATTCCTGAATATTTCCAGGGAAATACTCTGATTGTACCTTAAAATAAGCCATGACCATTTCCTTCCATGTCTTTCATTATTTACAATCATCCTATTGCCAACTCACTATAACCTATCCGATTGTTGAAACTTTCGCAGAATAGAGTAAGACCTGAACATCACAGTTGAGTGGTTAGCGCTGCTGTCTGTTGTTCAGGGATGGCCACGTTCACATCTCAGCCTTGACACTGGCTTTCATGACCGAGGTTATTCATGGTTTTTCTCAGTCCTTCCCAACAAATTCCAGAGTACTTTAAATTAGGCCATGCCTGCTTTCTTCCATGTCATTTTTAATTCATTGATCATATTATTCAGTACTGTACAGTCTGAGTCACTGACAGCGTCATTAAATAAATTACAAGTAAATGAATAAAGTAAGAAGTGCATATCGTTCTGAAGTCTCCGGTTAAAGCTTTTGATCGTCTACTCTGAGTAGGATATTTTTGCAATTCGTTCAGGAACTTTTGGATATTATTTTAACCTCATAAATGTAATTTGGGCATTCTGAAATCGTAGCAGCTGTGTCCTGTAAATACATTTCCGAGCATAAGCACTGCCTTTTATCATTGATTCATATCTCTGTATTATGTCTAACATTTTATTAATAACCAAACGAGATACAAATTTGTGTATTTGGATGGTATTTTGTAGGTGTTTATAAATGTGTTCTATTCGTTAACTTTTAAGAAAAATTTAAGTCTTATCTGTTGTAAACATCTATCCCTTCCATTCTTTGGATTTAATGTTTACTCTTGTTCAATAGTTTACATAAACCTTGAAGTAATTATTAATATTTGCTACATTATGAAATAAGTCTGAATTAATAATAATATAATGAAAGGTTCTTGCCAACTTTTATTTAGAGTTGGTGTGTAGATTCAAGTAAACTGTGTATAATTTGATTTCTTTTGAATGTGCTTACCAGACTACTTTTATTTACAGTAACTGCTGCATGATTAGCATTGAGTGTTACTGCAAATTGTATAGAAAAGAGAATAATTTCTTCGTCTTACCAAAGTTTTTGCCAGTTTTAAAATTTTTGAACATCTGTCACTTAAGTAATGTTTTAGTCAGAAAACATAATGAACTGTGCACGTATTAAAGAGAATTTTTCATACATACATTATTCTAAAATTAAATACTAATATAAAGGACATCATTTGTCAACATCTCACCATAATTAACCATGATAAAGTTAATATATGTCTGGTCCTCTCATTTTTATAACTTATCATGACTGAGACTGACATATAAAACAATATGACATTTTAATTTTTGTAACAAGTTTTATGTTTTGAGATGTTTCCTGTGCTTACTTAACGTTGTAAAATGTATGTCTGAATCATTCATGTGAGTGTATTTACTTATATAATTTAATATACAATATGGCTTTGGACAGTAAGACTGGACATTGGCGTTAAATGTTTTTATATTCGAGAGGTCTCACGTACAAAATTCTGGCCTGGTTTTCATGATAGATTACGCACAGTCTTGCTGTCTACATGTCATAGTAACATATGATATATAGTTAAAACTCTGTAGTTTGCAGCTTGAGGTTTTTATGTTCAAAGTACAGTCCTGTGTTTTGAAGGCATGTGCCATAATGATGTTTCTCCCTGCCATATGAGCATAGTACAAACACAAGTTCTTGTGTCATCGTGGCGCTGATTGTTCAGCCCACGAATCTATTAGCATTTGCTCAGATAAATATGTGATGTTTCCTCTCTTATCAAATTGTTGATATTTGAATTTGCATGCTCTATGAAATTAGTTGTCTCTTATGGAACCTGAATTTTTGTTATCATTTTCGCGATAGCATGCCTTCAGTCCCTGTTCTGAGCCAGATGAATCCAGCAAATGCCTTCCGAGACTATTTCCTTTAGACCCATTTCTGTATTATCATCCCATCTGAACTTAGATTTTACAAGTGGGGTCTTTACTTTAGGCTTTTCATCTAAAATTTTGTACACATTTCTTATCTCCCCAAATGTAATCCTTCTTGATTTTATAACCCTAATAATATTTGGTAAAGTGTACAAGCTATGGAGCTCCTCATTATGCAGCTTTCTCGAGCCTCCTAGTAATTAATCCCTCTTAGGTCCAAATATTCTCCTCTTCATCCTCTTCTCAAACACCCTCAGTCTCTTCTTTCCCTTTACATGAGAGACCAGGTTTCATTTTATCAATGTAGACCAAAAGTTTGTATGTCCAATTCATTTCCAGTCCATTTTTGTGTTCTTGGACCTTCCTTTTGGCATATTCTGAAGTAATTCATTAATATTGTTTTCGTGGTAAATGGATTTGGTCAGACGTCACATCCTCTCTTTTTATAAGGTGAGTGTTAAGGACAAGGCAAATAATGACAGTCTTTCTTGTGATGATATTATGACACTCTGGCTCGTGTAAGCTTTGCTCGATAAGTTTTATCCTCTTCAGATTTCCAGCTGCAAAATGTACTGGTAGTAAGTAAGAAAAAGGAATTGTACCGAGAGTGATGTAACCATGTGTTTCAGATCATCGCAAACATTACTAAGCAAGTAGAGTGCGATGTGACGTAAATCTTAGGTTTCAGCCAAACTGATTCTTCCATGTTTCGTTTTGTTAATTTTATTAGCATTTTGGATTTCAGAATGTGATTTTTTTTATATTCTAATCGTGATGTGTAGTGGTTGATAATTTTGTTGTGTATTATTTTGTGTAAAATGGCATTCTGTATCCATTATGAAATATTCGTTGGTAGCAAATTTATGAAAGTAGTCTTTCTCTATCGAAAGAAATGTTGCTGTGTAAAATGTGAGGTTTTCACAGTGGTGACGGTGTCGATGTCCAGAGTTCTGGCACCGTGTGGATTATGATCGGTCCACGCACCACCAGAACACAAAAGGTCATCAGCGTATGTAACTTTGTTGTCAAATTATAATGTGTATTTAAGTCACTACTTTCTAGCCTTCAAAATTATTTAGACACAAGTTAAAGGAGAATTTTTCTTCATTCCATTAAGCAAATATTATACATTTTATATTCAATATTTTTGTTGTTAATAAATTGAGCTTTGTTAAATAAGAGGAGGCATGAACTTTCAAGGATATGTCTTTTCTTTGAAAACTCTTTGAACAAACTATATATAAAGTATGTTAATCATGTTGTCATTCATTTTAATTTGGATGACAAACATGAATGCAATATACATGTTTTATCGGTGTGGGTAGTTAGAAATGTTTTATTTTTGAAATAAAATGCAGTAAACTACGTGACTATAGTTGTGAGCTCTGATTATATATAATCTTATCATTTTATTAACCTCTTGCATTAGAATCAATTTGGGTCATGACAAGATTGCAACATCATTTACACTTGTGACCACTTTAAGTAACTTAGATTTGTTATTTTAAATTCTCATTAACAGATGGCATTATAATCGTAATACCTGACCTTTCGAGTCAATGGCTTATAGATCACATATCAGTACGTCTTTTATTTTTTGGTGTTCACATTTCATGCCAAGAGAAATAGTATATTGTGCAATAAACTCTCTAGGTGGATAAGCTGTGTCAAAGCTGTTCACTTTATTATATCCTCGTCTTTATTATCAGTTGTTTTTCACGAAACTTTTTCATAGATACTAACAGTCGTTAATGGCGTGGTGTAAGTAGAACTGATATCTAACAGGCTGTGAAAGTAATCATAAACACTTCGCCACTTCATAGGTCCACGGCTTGCATAACCTCAAAAACGATCTCACACTGGATCACAGATGTGGACAAATGTTTATGTTCAAACCTTCTGACTGATGCTGTTGAACGTTTATGGGAGCATGCATTGTTGTACTAACTCCTTGGAGCAGAATCCTTGAGAAGCTGGTAGTCGCTCAGGTAGTCAATAAATTATCGTGTTAAAATCTGTCGTGGTGGATAGTCTTTTAAGCCCTGTGATTTTGGTATTGATCCTCACAATCGCTGGTTAGGTCTAATATCCCACCCTGCGGATAGTCGTGCGCCTATGGTATGCATAATCACAAGAATTAATCACTTCAGACTTCTGGTATGAATCAGTTTAAAACTTCAGCTATGGGAAGTAACCCATTGGCTTAGCCCTACTTTTGTCCACTGAGGCGTGGCCGTCCATTCAGCTAACGCTGTTATGGAAACTACTTTTTAGTCCTGTTGCTGTGAAACTTCATTGGACATCCGAAATAATTCCGTATACGCCATATTTCGCCCCCACATATTTTATGTTAATGCAAAATCCCCGCATCACCCCTTTCGGAAGTTCCAAACGTCATAAAAATCCGTTTTTTGGTTCAGAGTTATCATTGTTGTACATTCACATAGACATGATGACACAAGCCTATTTTTGATTATAAAATAATAGTTTTTTTATTTGTAGTGTTCTGTCTGACGACAGGTCCATATGAACAGGATCCTTCCATCCTTTTCTCGGACTGGGACCTGTTCATATACGTTCTTGGCAGATGATCCAGAAGTGGTTTGCCATTGACTTCTTCTGTGTGCGAATGGAGTAATTGTTGGGATGCCACGGAAGAAAACTCCGTGTTGCCTAGACCACCACAAGTTATAAATTCGAACCCGAGACCCCAGGATTACAAGGAAATAATAGTATTAGAATAAAAAGACAATTTTGTTGTATATGTGGGGATATTTTGTGTCAAGAGAACGCTGCTGGACCTCAAGCCTTCTAGATATTTAATAAATTGTTTGTACGAACATAATTATTTTGTCATTGAAATTCCTTATAGATAGACTTTGGTTCATTTAATTTGTCTAACCCTTGAATTTGCTATTTAATTGCTTATGCATATTAATGGCCGTTGAAACCCTATGAGTTTTAGATATCTGTGTATCCTTGCATGTTATGGTACGTAATAGATCTGAAGTTCAGGGAGGTTTTCGTTAATACAAGGTTTTTCGCTGTACATCAGGAAAGAAATGGATGTAACTGCAGTGTTTCATACGCGAACACACTGTGTCACATCACGAGAAATGGAGATCCCCTCACACTGCCCAATCACAAATGCAAGATAAAAAAGATATCGGTATATTAGGTCAGAGACAGAACTCAACTTATTCGAAACTAGACCAGAAATGTTAATTTCTGTACTATTTTGATAAATGTATTTATTTGTGGTTTATTTAACAACGGTCACAAATAATAATTACTTCCATTTACCGAATTAGTATTTGCATCAAAATTTCTGGCCTGGTTGCCTAGAGGAAGTTAGCCCAATTAGATTACTCATTCTGACCCTGAAGGTATTGCATTTTCGTGGTTTTTGTTCATATACGGGCCAGTTTACATATTCCTGTAATTAAGTAAACTTAACCAATTACATGAAGCTGAATGTTTATTAAGAGGACGATAGCTACTCAATAAATCGCCTTTTTTTTTACAGCCTGATTGCTAAGTAAAGCAAACCGCTGAGTTATATTATTCTAGTCTTCGCCCTTATATCGCACTTCTTTAAGATCCGCTTTAAAAATTATCTGCCATTCAAGGTAATGTATAAGTCTATATTATACTAATATCACTTTGAAATTACGGGTCCGACATAGAAGCTTGGTCGTTAGTACACTGCAGTAAACTTCTAGTAACCCGGTCTCAGGTGCTTGCAATTTGTAAACACAATATCCAGCCACTAACTTCGTAATTGATAGTCGAACGGTGGGGATGAATGTCATATTCATTACGGCAGTTACTAATAACTTAATTTGCTCATTTATCACTTTAAATTAATCGTAATGGTAACTATATATACCGTCCGCTTTAACAATCAATAACTGTATTTTTGCCAACAGTGTCTTTGTGGATTTCGTAAGATTTTCAGTATAAACAGCTGTTATTTAGTTAAACATAGTTAACCTTTAACTCTGTAATGGAGAAATGTTGTGTTTTCTTTGAGGCACGGATTGAGTTTTGAAATGTTATTTAGTTGAACTTCGATTTTAAAGGGTTAACTATGATCGTTAAATACTATTAGGCCCATGTCATCGGAAGTGAAAAATTGGATTAGGCACTGTAGGTTTTTAGGAATTCTTTCTTCGTTCTATACTTTTCGCATAATATTTTTTATCAGGGTATTAATATGTGTTTGTGATTTGTCGTTCTTCATCCTGTGACCACTCCGAGAAAACAGGTATCTGCCTTCTTCAGTATTGTGTGAGTATAGACTTAAATTATTTCGAGCAACATTTAAATAAGACTATCCGATTTCGTGGCCATATATGCGCTTCATTCTGTATGTTTGTCTGTTACGCAAGTACGTGATTCTGCACGGGTTCACTAGTAGCACATTTCGCGTTTGATCAATGTGTTTGCACTGTCCGCCCGCAGTGTAGGCAACCAACACACTCTAACACCATGTTAGTGACTTTACCTCTTAATATTGTGAAATCGAAACACCTTGCTTGTCAAATGTTGCAATGACGTATGTTTTATGAACGTTTTGTCTCTTGTGTGATTCGAAATGTGTACGTTCTTATTGTTTTTAAGGGTGGAAAGCATAAACATTAAGACGCTGTACATAATTTTGCTTTATAAACAATATATCTTTGCTTAAGATACAGCCAACTTCGTAGACTATAATTTCACGTATTTTATTTGAGTGTAAAATGGTCTCTCACCCTGAAAACCATAAGGAAATGGCCAAGAAATGAATTGGGGTAAAGACAAGCAGACTAACGGCGGACTGTAGATATAGAGAATGGTTAATTTCCCACCCCCACCCCCACCCCGCCTGGAACAAAACCAGGTTTGTCCAACTCGCAGCCTGATCAGTGCACTGACTGAGCTGTCTGTATCTGTGTATGAATTTATTGTGTCTAATCCAATCGAAGTAGGACTGAAACATGTATGCAAAAACTTAATTTAGGTACTTCACTAAAGGGAGTATTAAATAATAAAAATAAAAACGAATTTAGTGTAGGTCTGTCACACTTCGTTAGTTGAATTGGTCACATAGCATTCTGTTATTGACTGATGAACACGCGTGAGGAAAGTAATGTTTAAAGTTGTTTTATTATTTTGAACGCACGTAACATATACTCACTCCCCCCCCCCCC